AAGATTCATGCTAACTGTTTGGCATCATATCAGGTTAAGCAGTTATCACAAGTTACTGTAAAACCGAGTATTGGAATTTGTATTTGATGTTAAAAAAAGGTATGGTATGGTCAATATACTTTTATATTGAGTAATCTGAAATATTTTATGATATTATGGACATGTATAAGTTTGGCTATCATAAATTTATTTATTTTTAGAAGAACCCTAAAGTTCTAATCCAAATTAAAAAAAAAAAGAATTAAACTCCTTGTCACCTTGGCGAGGTGAACGACCCCATTAGTGACACGACGTAGACGGGATAAAACACATGCACAGCCAGCCAAATAGATAATCAAGGGGATGGCCTAATGGAGGTTGGGGCTCGGAGGTTGGTGCTTGCAGCTCCAGTATCCAATTACATTTTAACGGCTTCCTATTAATTATCGGCGGCAATAAAGAACCTACCGGTTAATCATGATTAAGGGCTGGTTATATTTTATCAGATAGGCGTCTAGTTACCGGCGGGGAATAGTTAATATCTATTTCTACTGTCTAGTCATCGGGTGATCGTCTGGGAGAGTGGTAAGAACAAGTTGTTATCCTTAGTGAGCTCTAAGCGTAGAATTTATAATAAACTTTGCATATTGATATAATATCACCAGACTGAAGTAAAAGAGGATAATAAGGATTGACAGTATGCTATAGATAGTTGAGGAAAAATACTAGTAAATAATAGTAGATGACAGTAGATATCAGAGGTTTCCAAACTACGGCCCGCGAAAGTTTCTTCAATAGCATGTTTTTTTTTTTCTATAAAAAATATATTTACGCCTGTCAACTAATTGTTGACAATAAGCAAATGTGATGACGAAACATGAAATAATGAGATAACAGGCATGGGGAAGGAAAGTACTCAGCAGTACCTCTTCCCTAACTTGTTCCAATTACTTAGGTTGTTTAAGGAAGGAGATCTCTCATCCAACGCCTTTTTAGTCTCCTCCTCATGTTCTGAGGTATGTCAGCTGTGGTCATGTCTCTTATTATGTCGGTTTATATTTGTGTAAAATCGTTGATAAAGGATCGTTATATGTTGGTCAACTATTGGAAGGTGGAGGTCAGTATGTAGAGTTTTGCTCGTCACGTACCAAGGAGCTTTTGTTATGAGTCGCAATAAGTTTGATTGGAACGTTTGAAGTTTTTGTAGGTGGGTCTTTTTAGCGATACCATATATTTGTGATGAGTTCGTCCATATGGGTTTAAATAAGTATGTATATGGATTCAGTTTCTGTTTTATTTTCAGTTTTCAAGATTTGGCAAAAAGAGAATAAAGTAGTTTGAGTCGTTTGTTAAGTGTCGTACGTTTCATTTTAACATGTGGGCCCCATGTCATCCTTCTGCCGAAGGTGAGCCCAAGGTACCGTGTCCGTTTGAGGAATGGGATTGTTCTCAATATAAACTGGAGGGCAGGTGTTTTTTCGAAGAGTAAATGTTATATGTTTGGATTTGTCATGATTAAGTAGAATTTTGTATAATGTGAACCAATCTTGTAGTCAAACTACAAGATTGCATGTTAAAAACTATTAGTAAAACTATATTATAATATAAACTAAATAAAAACTATGTTAAAAATTTAGCAAATTACTCATACACAAGGTTACTACATGTATTGCATGGTTGTTTTTCTCCTAGAAAACTCATTTCACAGTTTAACTATCATTTATAGAAAATGATTTTTTTTTTTCATTACAAGCCATGAACCGCGGCACTCATTTGGAGATCTCAAGTTTTTTAATTTAAATTATGATATCTGTAGTGCAGCTGAAAGTTAAAAAAAAAACAATTAATAATCTATCATTTTAAGAAAAAAATAATTTAGCGTTGTTTAACCGCTTAAAATTCCCACTCGAGTGTTTTTTAAAAAGACAAAACTTGCATTTATATAAAAATTTATCGTTTTTACTATGAAGCATTTGTTAATTACCTAAATTAAATATGTTTTCAGTTACTAATTAGTGTTCAACAAAAAATAAACATCCTGATTTTCTGCGGAAAACCAAAATATCTCCATAATTATTTTTGTTCATATACGTGACACCCTGTATACCAAGACTAATGAAGTTAATAAAATATATTTAAAATGTGTAGAAAATACATTAGATATATTCTTTGTTTCAGTTTTTTAGATTATATAATAGTTTTTTTTTTGCTGGGCTTGGTCGCTTCTCCTTAAAATAATTTCAGAAAGAATATAAATTTTCATGATAAGATCTTTTAGTTTTCAGCAGTTTCAGATTTTTAAAGGTCAACTTCTCTTGGCATAGGCTACCGAAAAAGTAATTAGTGAAAAGATAGTGGGAAACCAGCATTTTTGGTTCAGCCGCAAGATTGCGTTAGAAGGAACTAATTTGTTCCATGATATTTTTTTTTTCATAGTAAGTTCATTCAAAGATAACACATCGAACGTCATTTAACTTTTTTATTTTTTTTTTAAATTTCCTAAGAGATTTTTTGACTTTATCTATTTTATTTAGCTATGCTTCAATTTACTTTAGTTTGCACCCAGACAAATGAAAAAAATGTTTTTTCCTTAACACGTTACGAATAATTTTACAAGGGTTTTTAAAATAATTGAAGGTAAAAGACCTTTTTCATTAAAAAAAAGTGTTTTATAATCCATTAATACCCATTAGTCTACTCTATTTTCATTAATTACACATTTTAGATATTAAAAAAAAAAAGTTTGAAACGCGAAGAGTCCATTGACAGAAGACATTACGATGTGGATGTAAATGGAGTTCGCTAAGACGCTGACGCCTTTTAAAAACTCCATCTACTCTTTGGAGCTGCTGAAAATAAAACAGTTTCAACAACTTTGCCACCTTGTGTCAGCTTCAAGTGAAAAGTCCTCTTTAACTTCACAAAATTATGAGCAAACATTTTAGGCGCTAAATACACTGTTCTGCATCCAAATCCTTCGTTTAATAGATATGTTTTTTATGTTTTGAGATATGCTCAACACGAATCTAAAGGCAGAAAATCTCTATCAGATACCATTTTATGTTAAATTTGTGTTGTGGGTCAAAAAATGAGGCGTTTTTCGACATTTTGGGTATATTTTTATCATTTAAAACTTCAACGAAAAATTTAAAAAAAATATATAAATATTTTGAAGCTATTACATTGCATTACAACGTAACAAATTTCCGAGAGCTGAAGTGTTAGGTTCAATTTTTCTGGAACTCTATCCAGGCTCCATATAAGGACCTAGAATTCAAAGAAAAATTAAATGAAAGTGAAAAAAAGCTTCTTGGTCTGCGTTTCAAAACGCGTGTTAATAATTTTTGGGCAACAAAAGAGCTACAAATTACAAAGACATTGTTAAAGAATTGCATTTATCATGTAAGGCCATGTGTTATGGGCAACATGTCATTAAAAATTCATTTTTTCTACTCTTATTTGGATTTAGGGATCAAATTAGGGACAGTTTCAAATGAATACGGAAAACGGTTTCATCAAGATATAGCACAAATGGAGAAGAGGTGTAGTTGTAAATGCAATGAGAAGATGCTTGTGCTGACTCTGTTGGACCCTTCAACGTGAAACAGCTGATAGATACTATAAAACGAAAAAAACATACGCATTGACTAGGGATAAAGTTATATAATGTTCAGGAATAAATATTTTATATATTATTATTCACAAACAAATGAATAAATAAATGAAGTAAAAAAAAAAGCATTACTTAGACAAAATTCCTCAAGAGAGAGAACTTTTTATTTGGGCAGAACAGTGATACCTAAGTTTTTCTTAACATTATAATTATTAAATATTAAGGTCAATGTCGATTAACTCTTTAGTGAAATAATTAGTATCATTGTGGTTTTTTCTTTCCCAAACAGAAATACATCCAGGAATCGTCAATATACCTGCTATAACTACAGCTCAATAGGAAAATAGCAGAGAGAAATAAAATATGAAATTATAATAATAAATCATAAAGTCAGTGTCTCTAATGTAAAAAAACTCTATTTTTACATACGGAATTCCACGTCAGAGTGCATTTTGCCAACACCTCGTTCTAGTCAGTCTTTTCAAACAGAATCCTTTGTCACATATAAGTCAGAGATTTAGATCTTATCCCAGACCTAAGAGATTTGTTTATGTGTCAATCGATATACTTTACAAGATATCGATTAGGTTAGGATGAAATGAAATAAAATGAAAATAATTTTTTTATTCTGGGACTAGTTGTCCCTTTAGAACAAGTCAAAAATACAGAATATATATCAATATTTTGGTGTGTCCATGAAATACTATTTAATATTTACAGGTTGATTCGGACTACAATAAAGTTATAAATGATGAAAATATATAAATACGTGTAGATAAAATATACAAAGAAATTAATTAAGTGAACGAAATATCGATGAATTACAAAATAATCTGTAAGTATCTGGGTGTACTTTGTGGTTTTTAAGTGATTTTCGTGATCAATCGGATTGGGAATGGAGTAGGTGTTCGAAGAGGAGAGATTTGAATGAGGATATCGATTCTGCGTGTCGAATATCTGAAGGTATAGAGTTCCTGAGGGAGACAATTGTATTAAAAAGGATTCATCAAATGCAGCAGTTCGACGAGGAGGAGGATAGAGGTCGGACGCACGGGATCTGGTGAGACGGGATTGAAAGGAGCGTTTGAATTGTAGGATCTGTAGAATATAGGCAGGTCGCCGTGTTGTAACGGCTCGGTATAGGAAGGTAGCCAGAGAATATTGACGGCGGTAGGACGGATAGAGCCACTTCAACTTGGTGTAGAACTGGGTAATATGCGTATCCCTTGAATATCGAATTGGATATGTCTAGCGACACTGTTAAATGAAATTGTTTGATTTTACATTGTGCCTCCAAACAATATATTTTCTCATACTCTTAGATAATTCGTTCACTATATGAGAAATGTACAGAAAAAAAATCTTATAAGATTGTTGTATGATCGGAAATAGAATGTTTGTTACTAACTCATTAGAAGTAAGGTGGCGTTGACAAGCCCAGTCTTGAAGTCGTACTTGAGGAGCTTGATAGTGTGAGGCGGATGCTTGTTTGAAGGAGGCACCCACTCGGCTTTGCTACCTGTCTTCACGACCATCCAGGTGAGAAGAAGGTGTGAGCCCTAAATATGGAAAAAAAATATTATAGAGGCAATAAAATTAAAATAGTCATAATTGGATTCAGTATGGTGTAAACGAAGTTTGTGAACTCTTTTTACCTGGATATTAAAAAACTCCTCTGTCCGAATCACATAACTTTCACTTACCACTCTACTTTAAGCAGAAATTATTTTCTGCCCAAAATGTGCTGTTTCAGTATATTTTTAATTTGACTAAACTGTAAAGAACACATTTGGGAATTTTATCTGTAATTATCGATTAAAATACACAATATATGCATCAAAATGTTTCAAAATCTATTGTATGATCCAAAATAGTTTCACCAACATAAGTATTTAATGTTGTTATTTCACAGAGAGGAAATAAATTAAATTTAATAAAATTTTACTTAGTAACTTTTCGCAATAAACCGGTGATATATCATTATTTAACTATATTATCGTGCCTAAAGTTATTAAAGTATAATGAAGTTATGTAATAAATACGTGTTTTCCCAGTTGATGACACTGCATGAAATACATAAACACCATATACTATACCACGTCTTCTTTCATGACAGCTTAATAAAATAGTATTCAAAATTATTCGAGAGAGCCATCAATATAAGAAAAAAAATCTTTTTATTTTCTTTCTTTTAGCTGAAGTTCTGTGCCAATAATTTAAAATAAGTTAGCAGACCTCATTCTTCTATAGCAAAAACTGATTACAAGTTGAAATTTGAAAGTATTTAGAAATTTTATAAATATTTAGCCGCCTTATATTTTTATACTGATGTTGACTTGCTAAAAACAAATATTCCTCCACCACATTGTCCATTATTCAGCATTGAGCAATCTTAAAACTCCTTATTTAAAAAATGTGCAAGATTTTTTTTTTAGCTAAATGTTTCTTTTTTTCTAGTAAAATCTATATATTTTTGACGAGAAAAAGTCTTAATCATAAAATTCACTTTTTAGTTAAGTAACTATTCTAATAAATGCACTATGTATATCTCTCTATTATGTAAAAAAGTATTTAGTGACTGTAAAATATTTTATTTTACTTATAACACTGCTCTACATTGACATTATATCTCACTTGAAAACAACCTCATTACATGTTGTTTGGTGTGCGAAATTCGAATTTCTACATAAAAATCATAAGGTAGCTCTAGTTTCAAAGATATAATTACTTTTTGCGTAATATGGTGAAATTTCCTGCTCCTTGATTGGTAGGATTGATTGATGAATCTTGTTGCCTGTTGTGATGTTCTGATGACAACATTAAATTTCCATCACAACATTCATAAAGTTATCATACAAGTCAGTTTTGTTGCACAATGGCAATTTACTTCCCTCTATCCCTATTGGTCATGCTGTTCACAAGAAGGAAACTTACCAAAAGATAGAAACCTTCTAAAATCCATCAAATGCCAGGAATACCAATGGAAAATCTGTGAGGACCTGAACGTGGTGGCAACTCTCCTGAGTTTTTGTTGTTTCTTATGTGAGTGGGACAGTCGGGACAGAGCATGTCATTACATCAGGAAAAAATAGTCTCAAAGAGAAGTCCTGGCCCATGGAAAACAAATTCTCTACGACCCTCTTGTAGGCCCTGAAAAAATCATTTTGCCTCCACTACATATAAAGTTAGGGCTCATGAAAAATTTTATCAAAGGAATCAACCAATCAAGAGAGGAATTCAGGTACTTGAGAGAAAAATATCTTCGCTTAAGTAAAGCTAAGGTTAAGGATGTTGGATTTGTTGGTCCTCAAATCCGTGAGCTTCTTAATGACGGAGATTTTTTTAATATTCTTCAGGGTAAAGACAGCGTGGGAAGCATTTACAGTTTTAGTTAATGGTTTCTTGGGTAACAAGAGAGAGGGAAAATATGCCGTCTTAGTCCAAACTTTCCTAGAGAAGTACACAGATCTCGATTGAAACATGTTACTCAAGATTCACTTTCTTCACTTTCATTAGGACTTCTTTTCCAAAAATTGTGGATCTGTAATTGACGAATATGGCGAGTCGTTCTAAATAAACTGTACAACAGCGCTGCTGTTGGCTAGAGAAGTAGTGATTTAATGTTTTGTGGGCTGTAAAAATATTTCACAAATAATAAACTACTTTTAAAGCCTAAAAAATGATTGTGTAGCTTCCAATAACTTAATTTTTAGTATTCGATACTGGGTATCTGCAGAACGGTTGCTAATATAAGGATTCCGACAGGAAATTCGAGTTTCTTACACCAAAATTAGCCAAGAGAAACAGTTTTAATCGAAAATACATGGGAACATTTTTTTTGTAGGGAGTACTGTAATGTGGAATGTCCGCAGAGCACCACCGTCGTGCAGGTTTCCGGATGCTGCGCCGTAAATCCCATCGTTCTAAAAAGATTGTATCTAACTATTTATTATGTAAGTTTTCAACTATTCTATATGTAACTTTCAACTCTTCTTCAACAGTTTCTGTCGTTTATGAACCTATTTTATTTGTATAATTGGTAAAATGGCTGAACATGTAGTGACCACCTAGTACATTATAAAAAAAACTGTTATTGAAAAATTTCGTTTCAGATAGAGTGAAATCGCTTCTATCAATCAAATATAAATGAATATACCAAATAAAAATTGAGAAATTGACATATTATCAAACAAATGTTAATGTTATTTTTTCAAACTTTAAATTAATGGAGCAAACCAAAAAAAAAAAACCCTGCAAATTTTTTCACAATGGTTTATTATTTCCAGACAACTATACATCTAAAGTAACATTACCTTCCTAGTTACAAAGAACAATAAATAAAAGGTGATTCCCATTATTGGACTAAACTTTTTTTTTAATCATTAGTGATATGCTGAAAAAATAGCATTACTTCAGTAACACATTCAAAATTTAAAAACCAAACAAAGGATATAACATTTGGAGCAGGACATATAAAAAAAAAAACTGGATGCCATATCTTTGCTCCTAATTGTCCGATTTTAACGACTTTTTTAGGAAATTCCATAAACTCTTGAAAAACCATTCACCATATACATTTTCAGTTATTCGGAATTAAATTTTACCATCCCGCGTAACTTCTTTCCAGCTTCTTTTCGTTGAAGTATGTTATATAGATAAATTTAAAGAGCGTCAATAAAATGACTTTATTAGCCAAGTTTTATTGAAATCGTTTAGGAGCTACAGTCTACAGCCATTTCGAAAGTAAAAGGCGGATAGTAATGTCGATGAAGAAGGATCATCCTCGGGTGACCTCTGATTTTATATCCAAATTAGAAAAAAATCGGCCCAGTAGTTTCGGAGAAAATGAGCGGACGGCGGACGGACCAAAAAATTTGTATTCCTTTTTCGAATTCTTCGCATCCTGCAACGTGAAACCTTAAATTTTGAGAGGGGGTTAAATTTTTGAATTTTTGGGTCGATTACAATGGTTGATTATTGAAAATAATAAACCAAAATTAAGAAAAAAGTTGGAGTTAGTAGTTTAACAGCTGTTACATTTTGGAAACATCAAGTTACAGAAGAACACGAAAAGCAAATATGAATTTAAAAAATACTTATATGGAATGCCTGAGATAAAGTTTAACAGAAATAAAACAGTTTATTTATTCTATATTATCTTGTTCTAATTATTTCTTTATTATTTTATTTTCTGATAATGCTTATTATTTAATATCAAACAAAATGGATTGATATACTGATAAATAACGATGATGAATAATACATTTTACTATTTGAACTTACACTTATTTATTTTATCAAGCCAACTATAAAACTAAATTGACTTCCTTAAAGAAGGAAGCATTCACAAGATTTATGCGTTCATCGCGCATCGATTGATCTTCGGGGTAATAGTCCATTTCCGATATTGTCAGAAATTCAATGTGAAAGATTTTTTTTTTCTTTGCATCTAAAATATTGAAGAGATAAGGCACTTTTTAACTTCATACTTTGTGAAAAATAAATTATTTTATCTATATTAAACTCTTTTTATATGGCGTTTCATATAAATATTTTTACAATTCGTATTTGTTCATCGACTTCAGACTACTGCAACTTAATCTTTCTTAAAAAGAACTCGGATGTTTGAACCAACTATATTTTTTGTAATATTTTTCGTTTCTTCAAAAAAAAATTTATAAAAAATGACATTTGCCGTTGTTTGAAGAAAATATCTATTTATCAGGTATATTCATCTATTATTATACTATTATAAAGAAATTGAATTTATCTATTTGAATCGATTATCTGAAAAGAAAATGTTTTTGGAGGGCCCTCCCCTTCCTCGTCGTTAAGGCTATACGGGGTTTTCCCAGGCCAGAGGATGTGGGCGGGGATTTAAAAGACTCCTTCAGCAATGGGACTCGAACTCATAACTACTTTTGTATCATTTATCATATATCAGGTTGCCGGGCAACGGTGGTGCTGTGCACAACGCGTTAGCCCATTCGGCCACTCCGCCCACATTATTTATCACACCTTTATTAAAACCGTTGACTAACTAAAAAAAAATCAATTTTCAGGCTGGCGTTGTTCAATTAATAAATGACTATATTTTCACTAGAAAAACAAAGGTAATGCAAACTAATGGATATTTTTTTTTCTTCAAGAAAGATAAAAATACCAATATTTGAAATGAGGAATTTTTAGATTGACTAGAGTTTCAATAAAAGGCAATATGGCAGGCGAAATTTTAATTTTGTAGTTCTTTAATAAAATTAGGTAAATAACAGGATTAGTAAATATTTCTACTTTCAAATTTTAATTTAGTATTCAGTTCAAACTTGAAAAAAATTGGATTTTTAATTGATTCTACTTGATAACTTTGTTGAAATTATTAGCACACAATGCAAGTTAATATCAGCTAAAAGAAAGAAATGCTCATAATGTTTTGATTGCCAGCCAATCCATCTATTTAAATAACTTTTTTCTATCAAAATATGTTGGAGATAATCTCTAAGATTTAATAATAGAAATATATTTCACTTTTTATTATAAGCAGAACATAAGCTAACTTAAATTAAAAAAAAAAAACAACATTCTAGAAAATCCTTAGTCCATCCCCTTTTCGGCCTTCTTCGAGTAATTTTTGACGTGTATATATATGATATGTTTTAATTAAGTGAGCATTTCTGTAGTTTTCATCATGAAATCTTTTCCTGGATTCCATACAAAAATCTAAATGAGATGGTTTTTCAAGTTCATGTATTATGTTAATAATAGTTAATTTGATATTTCATTTATAGTTTAGTAATTATTATAAATAAATGCAGATTAGAAATTTAAAAAAAATATATACATGAGTTATCACTGAAAAATAGGATTTAAAATATATCTAAATTAAATAATATTATTGAATAACTATGTATTACTAATTGTATAAAACCATCCGTCCAGTAACTGATAGTGAATAATAGACTGAATTACATCCCACTGTCCTGTTTACCTATCTCAGAAAATCAACAACATAACCTAAACAGAGAGAGGAAATTCGGAATCAGTTTAAAACTTTCCTGCCACTGGTTATACGACTTGGAACAACATGACATTCTCTCCCGTGTTGTTTTTATTAGATAAAACTTTCTCTCGATTCACTCAGGTTACATAAACTTTATAGTTCTCTAAAACATATGTCAATGTAAGAGCATACGAAATGAAATGGAGCTGTGCTAAAAATCTAGGGTGAATGTCCATTTGTTCTGGTTCGTACTAAAACCAGAAACCCAGAAACTAACAAGAAAAATAAATAAATCAACACTTCTAACACAACTTCATTGGTTTTTATTTTTAGAAAAGTATATATTCTTATATATTTTGTATTCTTTATCCTAAGTATTTTATATGTTTGTTAGATATATATTGCTTTTATTGTTAAGTTAATAGTAGCAGATCATAGAGTTGAAATTTAAGATTACTTTTATTTATTTATAGATATTTTTTTTTATCATTTATATTTGTTCCTGATTTTTGTTGTAGTATATATCGTATGAATGAATTCTTGTAGCTCTAATACTTGTTGCACTTCATAAGGCAGATTGTATTATCATTCAATAAACTATCAATAAAAAAAAATTAAAAAAGGCTTACGTGAATCATAGAAATAGTTTAAAAAATGATATTTATTCATTAACCACTAAACCAACCACAATTAAGAAAGGAGGATATTTCATTCAGAACTATTAATAATGATTTTTAAAATCAACTCAAACTTAATTTATTTATTTTCATATCATCTTCCCTGAGAAATAACTTGAACAAGCTCTAATTTTGCAGTTGGTAAATTTTTTTTTTGGTTGGCTCTTCGAAAATAAATAATTAATAATTCATTTTAAGGTCCAGACACATGTCCATAAAATTAAGGCACATCTAATGTAAAATTAAAGAACACACCCATGCCCAAGTTTTTGTAACGTATCAATGGACTCCATACAAGTTGGCAACCCCTGATTTAAAATATTTTAAGAGAAACGCATAGGCTTTGTGGTTTTCATATCATCATAAAGTGTCCTAGCATGCAGTCAAAAAGAAATAGATCAAATCCGGAGGAACAACGCAAAGTCCATTGAAAATTATTTTTAGGGTAAAAATATGCTTATTTACGTACCTTGGTTATGGATTTGACGAGCCTCCTGCTGGACTTGGGTACTACAGGAAGATGAACCATGGTCGGTATCAACTTGAGCAGGATTGTCTTGTTGACCTTCCTCTTGTCCTTCCGGCATTCGAGGATGAGCTTCGTGTCGCCTTTGATCTTCCGAGGGTTCACTCGGAGGGTTCTATTATCCTTTCCGAATAAGGAGACAACAGCGTTTTCTGAAAAGTTTTCAAGAAAAAGATTGTTATGAAAGGTAGCTAGAAAGTACTGACGGCAATAGGATGGAAAGAGCCACTTCAACTCGGTGTAATACTGGGTAATATGCGAATCTCTTGAGATTCCGAAAACAAAACGTAATGCGCATTTGATTATGCCTTTAAGTTTGGCCTCGAAATCTCTCGAAAGTCCACCGTACACCATATACAGCCATAATCGAAGTGGAGGAAAACAAGAGATCAAACTACGAGTTGACGGGATATGGATGGAGGTAACTTATGCGATTGAACTGTTTAAGTGTGGAGATAGTGCTACGGAAAATTAGGGAGATGTGCGGTTTCCAGGAGAGGGTTTGATCAAAAGTAACACCTAAGTTTTTAGCGGTAGTTTGGAATAAGATAGGTGAGTTGTTCAGGAGAAGATTAAGGGATACGGGGAAGGATTTGAGGAGTGAGGGGGATCCAATCAAGATGGCTTTCGTTTCCTCAGCGTTCAGAGTGTGCCTGTTGAGATTTGCCCATTCATTTATTCTATTAATATCTTTTTTTTTTTTTTTTGGATTTTTAGTATGGCATCGGAGGAATCGGTCGGATTAAAGAAACGTCGTTGGTATACAGGTATAGTGCAGGATAGAGATTGAGAGGTCATTTATATAGATGGAAAAAAGGGTGGGAGATAGGGAAGAGCCTTCTGGAACACCTCTGGATGGAGGGCTATTAGGGATCAAAACATACTGGGAGCGATCGGTTAGGGAGGATTGGAGACAATTAAGGGCACTAGAAGAAAAGGATTTTTTTTTTTTTGGTTAGGAGGATATGTGTCAATATTATGAATTTTTTCTTATTTAAATAGAAATTGATATTTCCATAAACACAACAAATATTGTTGCCTAAATTGTAACAATTAATGAGATTAACTTATTTCATTTCAGCTGTGAGTAATATCATGACATAATTACATGATTTTATTATAATTATTCAATCAGAATCGTTAATATGAAAGGAAATTAGTTGACTTAAAATTAGTGTAGCCTGAAATTTCCTATTGATGATCTAACTATCCTATCCTAATTAGCACGATCCTATTCAAATACACGAAAAAAGTACTTTCTGGAAAAATATTCAATTTTTTAGTTAAACCAGGAATCCCGAACTACTACTAAAAAAAATGAAAATTTATAATCATAAGTAATAGTATAATAAAATAGTAGTTCTTTCCGGATACTGGAGGTATACACATATTGGAGTTTATTTCGTTTACACACTCCCGATTAACCGATTCTGACTTGTAGGGAAAAGCGGGGTCCTACAGTGCTTTCATTATTCTTCTTGAAATTTAACCGTGAAATAATTGGATTATACAGAGTGTTGTGGGCAAGAGCTATACAATTTTTCAACTTTTCCTTTCTGCCAGAGTTTTTGATTAATGCCTCAAAGTAACTATTTACGAGAAAGCTGTGATAAAGGGCTGTTCTTCATTCGCAGAGGGAGGATTTATTCTGTGCTAGGTTTGCGTTCCACTGAAAATCGTTAGGAGATTTTTGAGTTGTAGCTTCGACAGTACGGATTAAGAAAGTTTAATGACAAAGCATATTTTAAAGTAAATTATAACATTAGTATATCTTATATGCCTGTTCTAGATTAATGCTACGTGATATATTATAAAACAAAAATCTCATATGATTAATTGGTTAAATACTGTCCAAAATCTAGCAATGGAAATAGACTAAGGGGCTGTAAATAGGCTAATAGTGTTGCCCAAATGGGAGACTAAGACGAGTCTTGGTCTTGTGCACTCAGTCTCAAATGTGCAGAGTTAAATGCAAATGTATATTGGTTATGAAAATTCTTTACATATAGTAACTGAAATTGTGAAGTAGTAGTAACTATTTTTCCTTAATTTTTATTCAAAAATCGATTTTTTTTACCAGGCTTTGTGTTGGTCTGACAACAGTTAGACACTTTGCAAGATCAACACTAGTCACTAACCTCAAGAAGAACATGGTTTACATACAGAAGAACATACAAAAGGTCTCGACGCCACTGAGGCTTTAGTCTCCGCAGGATGGTTGGAGCTCGATAGGGATAATATTTTTCAATTAGAAATTTTTACTAACTTAAAAGAATCGAAATTGTTGAACGAAGTACTCACGTGATTGAAAACGGGACAAACATATCTTAAAATTTCCTTAAGTGTGCCGAAAAATAGGATTTGGTGTCAAATCTTGACTTTTAATAATAAATAAATTAATTCAATAACTTAGAGAATCTTATAGGCATTTCTATGTGAAATATTAAAAAATAAAATAAAATGAAAGTTTTTTGTTTAAAGGTTGCGGTTTTGTATATTCCATGAGATCCAAATTTTCTTCACATTCTCTCAAACAAATAATCGATTAACAAAACATCGGAATGGTATAAAATATTCGTAGGAGAATCGCCGATATTGCTGCAACCGCAAGCTTTAGCGTAAATACCAGAACAATATTTGGAAGATATACGGCCTAGGTTTGGTTAGGGATGGAGGTCATATATCATAAATAGCGTGAGGATATGAGGTCGTTGGAGGGCACTCATGGTCATATTCCTTTTACTACCATGTATTTAATAAATTGTTAACCAAATCGACATTTTTAAATTTCCCAAATGTAGAAGATCAAATATGTTTTGGCATTTTCTAGTAGTGTTATCTATTTCACAAAAACGGTATGTAGCAATGAAAGTTGATTTAAAAGGATGTAAATGGAAAAATTTCAAACCATAAATCCTTAATACAGGTGAAAAGTTAAGCTGCCATAGTTTCGTTATTTCATGAATAATTAGGGCTGAAAAATAAGATCACATATATACAAAAAGAAAACTAAGGGAGAAATATATATATATATATATACATATATATATATATATATATATATATATACATTTGCAAAGCTATAATGATTAACAGTTTAACTGTTGGTCGAAAAGATTGTTATTTGTTGTAATTTTAACTATTATGTACAATTAATTTTTGATCAACTTTGCAATATTTTTTTTGCTATAAAAAAATTTATTTGCGCCACTCAACTGTTGTTAACGATCAGCAAATGTATAGTAAATATAAGATATAAATGACAGGTCAGGCATGGGGAAGGAAATTACTCAGCAGCTTCTCTTTCTAACTAGTTTCAATTACCTAGCTTATTTAAGAAAGGAGATCTCTCATCCAACGCCATTTTAGTCTCCTCCTCATATTGATGGGTATGTCTGATTAGAATGTTATAATGTCGGTGTAAATTATTGTAAAATCTTTTGTACAGTGTTCTTATGTGTTGGTCAACTGTAGGCAGGAGGAAGTCGGTATGTAAGGTTTTATTTGTCAAGTACCAAGGTGCTTTCGTTATAAGTCGTAATAATTTTAATTGGAAAAGGTGAAGTTTGTGTAACTGAGTCTTTTTAGATCCTCCTCATGTTATGGAGTTCGTCATCTGTTGCAATGCCACTTATTAGTCTGTTATGACGTCCGTTTAAAACAGGTATAAAATCGTTGGTAAAGAGTAGTTATATGTTGGACAACTATTGGAAGGTGGAGGTCAGTATGTAGAGTTTTGTTGGCCACGTACCAAGGTGCTTTTGTTATGAGCCGCAATAATTTTGATTGGCAGGTTTGATGTTTTTGTAAGTGGGTCTTCTTAGCGATACCATATATTTGTGATCAGTATGTCCATACGGGTTTACGTAAGTATATATAAGCATTAAGTTTCTGTCTCAGTTTCAGTTTTAAAGATTTAGAAAAAGAGGGTTAAGTATTTTTAAGCACTAAATAAGTTTAACAACCTATGTCCTTATTTATTTACTTTTTTTTTCTTAACTCCATAGGATATGGTGTTGAAAACAGTGGGTAGGACGAGGCTTAAACATGACCCCTTGTACTGCAAAAGATGCATTTTAAAAGAGGGATCGAGAATTGGGAGTATCGTCATAGTTATGTGTCTTAGTCTACTGACATGGCTCACTAGTGTCCTGTAAATGTCAATTAATTTTCACAATCTAGTAATAGGTTTTCAATCTATGTCTGCCATCTCCTAGGTTTGTGAGTAAGTGTTTTAAAAACTGGGTTTGTCGAGAGTTTAAGAATTTGATATGCCTCCGTGTAATAAAGTCGCACACCTTCGGTAATTCGAGGGTGGTATGAAATAAATCCGTACGTGTTTTTTTTGTTAAGTCGTGTGTTTTATTATTTTTCTTAGCACACTGTTCTGAAACTGAAATAACTTCTTCGTTGTTTCCGGTGATATGTTAGTTAAGAGTGGTCCAAAAAAGAGGGCTGGTCTTAAAATGCTGTTGTAAATTGTTAATTTGAGCCGGAGGGATAAGTTAGGAGAGAACAATAGGTGGTTGAGTCTATATGCCTTGGTACTAAGAGATTTTATTTTATTTATTTTTTTTTTTAACAAAATCTCTAATTTTTATTTTTATGTTTAAGTAAATCTTTTTGTAGAAGAAAAAAAAATGTAGCATATATGTACATATTTATATCATTTATAGATGATTACCGTACATACTTTGATTTATAAACATACATCCATTTTAGCACAATGGATACAATACCATTCTTCAGCAAGATACCACAAGAGCTTCTCAGGGCAATTATTCTTCCTTATGAGCTTCCCAGAGGAGAGGTTCAACCGACAGCCATTTTTTTCTATTTATACAGTATAACAATAAATACTAAGAGAGTAATAGCTATACTTTCACCACTGATAGAGTAAAATCATAAAACAACTTGAATAAGATCTATGTTCTAAAATATATGAAACTAAAACTAAAAAATTGAACTTTAATAAAATAATTATCTTCTCAAATTATTAAAACAGAATTATTCAAATATTAGTATTAAGGTCTGTTTATGTTCATGGAAGTTTGAATAAATAAATTCCAAGAGTAACTATTTAATTGATGTTATTGATTATTAATCAGGAGAATATTAATTAGGAAATAAACTTAGCCACAGACGTGAACAG